CTTTTCACTCCAGCGGAACGGTTTCCGGAAGGTCACAATTTGTGTAACGGATCTGATGTCTGAAACTAATAGATGGACCACCATCACTTATAGTAAGAGTAAGATGGACGTAATGTACTCAGATTCCATAAAAGCTCGTGGTATAATCGATCATGCATGCGTTATCAATAAGCTCAAGTTCACAGGTGTGAAGTAGACTGGCTTAAGTCTCGTCAATATAATTATCTTTTTAAAGTCAGGACAAATTTCCTACCTCAGGTTACGCAATGTTCTGGTGGTGTTCTCCAGAAGTCAGTATTAGGACCTCTATTTTTATTGACCTTCCTCGGCGAGTATTCTTTAAGATATCACTTTTACTGGTGGTACTAATCTCTAGGGTGAAACTTGTGACCGGAACGATGACATGACAATTTAGGTGGATACCATTTGACTCCAAATTTGTGTGAGTGGTAAAAATCTTCCTTTTGGTTCTTCCAAATGTAAAGCAACCCATCCAAGATACGCTAAACCTACACATAACACCTATTTGATTACCCTCTGGGAGTGTCATCATTTGAAAAAGATCTAGGTATTTTAATATCCTGTGATCTAACACTTTATGCCAACTGCAGAATGAATTCAGTTGTAGAGCACCATGCATCAGTAACTTTGAAGTTCATTTTTGACCAGTTTAGCACTTTTATTCGACCCCATTTGGAGTATAGTAGTGTTACGTCAAAGTTTTTGCTGTCGTTTGATCGGTTAGTCTACCCTAAATAACAATGGAATCAAATTTCAATTCAGGCTCCAAAGTTTATTCGCAAATTATAAGTAATTAACCCATATATATATTGTTCTAACGATAATTATAACAATTAAAAAACAATCATTCAACCTTCAGGTTTCCAGAAAAAAAGCTTCCAAAAAACCAAACCAAGAAACAGAGTGAAACCGAAATATCCCAGGTCAAAGATATAAATAAACAGGTTCAGAAGCTGAGTGAAACAGGTATTTCTCCCTCACTCCGAAAGGAAAATAATACTCTGGATCATATCTAAAGGCGAATACTGAAATCAGTTCGTCGGCTGAAGCCCAAACCTTTTGTGAAACGCCTTGAATAATTAAATCGTTACCCTTTAGAATATAGGGGAATGACATGCAACACCCTAAAGACCACAGAGTATCCTCTAGAAGACTTGTTTAAGCTTGGTTTCAACAAGAACCGCAGCGGAAATATACGGAATTCAAAGGCATAGCACAGAAGAGTGGATAGTAAGCACACCATAAACTGGCTGCGAGTAGTCAAGTCTTGGAATCCGCTACCAAGTGATGTGATTTAAGCAACGTCTCTGAAGTCCTTCAAGAGGAAATGTGAAGTATTCCCAAGGATGCGAAACGGTAGTATCCACCAAATTAGCTGAACGTCGATTACTCCTGCTTGTTTCGTATACTTAACTCACTACATGGAGGCGTCGGTGATCTACTACTACCAGACACAGAAGCTCGTTAACAGAAAGCTTCTATTCCGTTTACGACAGTTGACTAAAGGGGTCGGGAGTATCTGTCCATAGATACTTGTCACTCGCTGATCAGATGAGACAACGAGAATCTAAAAACGAACTAAAACTATGACCAGATGATGACAAAAAGAACCCTAATATTGTAGATTTTCGGATGGTTAGGTTTAGGCAGAGAATGATACCGAAGTCGATTTGGATCCAGCGCGAATCTGCTTAAGTGGTCTCCAAACCTGTTGCACAAATCTTCATGCCATTCTCACCGAGCAATCGAAGGTAGGTATACAGACAGATTTGATCACGTCGGAGGTAGTCCTCGTCAGTGAAAGTTGCTTAACTCAGTTTATAGGTAACAGGGTACTTGACTTTAAATTTTTCACACCATTGAGGGCCAACAGAATCCAGAAACATGGAGGAGGAGGAGTAGCCTTATCCATTATAAATACTCCCTCCCTTACAATTATCAATAACAAATTCCATGGAAACGGAATATGCGAATTAGTCATTTGCCGCGTGAAATCCAACGAACAAGAGCTGCCGATTGGTTTGATTTGCCCCAGTCTAACCTGTAAGGTGAATGAGATCTTGCCAGATGGACTTAACACTTGGTCTTCATGTTGTCGATGTTTAATCCTAAGGTTCATAGACCATACAAATTCTTTCAAACGGAAGCTAGTTGACGTGGTTATTGCACGTGCCCTGGTGTAGCATGTAAAAACAGTAATTATGTACGACCTGGTGTTCAAGTCATCATTACTAGGTCCCGTATTTACTCATTACAAGAATGGTGTCACAAGTCCCTTCAGCATATGTTTTATTTTATCTGTAACCTAAGGTGATTATCAAAGGCATAGAAGAACGTCATACTATGTCCTATCTTGAAAACAGGTATGAATCATGAACCCGAGAACCACCAGCTCACATGCCCAAGCAGAGTGCCTGTCGAGACTCTAGAAAATAGTATTGAAAAGAAGTTGTCTAAATATCTATGCCAAAAAACTGTTTTTTTAGCAGCATGGCTTTAAAACAAGCTGCTCATACCTCACAAACCTATCAAACCTATCAAAGTTGATGTGCTCTAAAAGATCAAGAGCCACTTATAGATGTGGCTTTCATTGATTTCAGAAGGGCCTTTGAAAAGCTCCACACAACAAACCGTCATTTAATTTATTAGGATTGGAGGAAACTTACTCATGTTGATCAAAACGTCCTAACTGAGTGTCAACAAAGAGTGCGAGTAAGCTACTAGACTTTTAGCCTGCAGAGGCCGATGAATTTTCAAAGTAAATAGGTTTTCAAGTCCTCAACGTCGGTGCTGACCCCATTAGTCCTACTGGACACACCCCAGCTGAAGGAGCTTAGTCACGCATCTACACCAGAGACCTAGTGGGTACGCTGTACTACCAATCCCTTGCAACTACTGGCCTGCTTAGATCAAACTCTTTTCGATGTACCGGTTGCTTTCCGAATGTACCATTGAGCCCCTTCATCCCTGACTTTCGATTTTACTGGGATGACATCCTATGATCATAAATGGTTAACACTCAAGGGCGTTTTCAAAGTTCAAATAACTGTGGTATCTTTAGGCCTGTAAACTTTGCTTAGCAAGGTGCCTTAGGGTACAGTTCTAGGACTACTTCTACTCCTCCTGTATGTAAGTGACTTTCGTAGTCTCCTATCATCATTGGTTTTGCCATGATCTAATGATACGGTGAGCGATAAAAAATGAAGATGACGATTTAAACCTTATGAATGACTCGTGGAAATAATTTGAATGGTTTACGACTTGGAATTTGCCGACAAATGCTCCCAAGCCCATTATTATGCATATTGGTCGTGAAGATGACACAAGTGTATGGAGTTTGACAACACCCTAGCCAGTAACATTGTAACGACCGAACTGCCAGTATTCGGTTTGAACGCAGGACTGACGAACGTAAATGTATTCGAATAGGCCAGACTACGTCCTTCTGTATAGCTTACCAAGTATTTTTGAGACACTCGTGTTAAATTATATCAAAACACAAATCGTGTGCTCAATTTAGACATTTCTAATTTAGGAAATAGAACAAATTATATAAAAAATACAGTCAAAGGTTTCTCTAACGCAAAGTAACGCACTAAATAATAAAAGAAGAAGTTAATACTAAAGGGTTTGGTACCTGGGAATCAATAAAAATAATCCCAACAAGATGGGATCAAATATCTATCTGCAGGGATTCCAGCAATCCTCCCCAGGAGACAGTCAAAAAGTTATCAGTCACACACTGAACCACGCCGTGACCTTGAGCTTAGTCAAACACAACACACAATAAAAATTAGGCAACAAAAGATAAGTCTTTTACCAAAATCACGTAATAAAAGCTCAGGCGAGGAAGACTGAAGAGCAAAAAATGTGGTTAAGCGAGACCTGAACAAAGGTTAAAATACACGACAGGGAGAAGAAACAAATAAATGACGGTATTGTCCAACAAGAAAGCTGGGGAGGGATTTTCATCGTTCTCTTTCCGTTACAAACATCTAATATAATCAAAACATACCACCTCAATGAAGTCAAAAGCGAAGAGGTTCGAAGGTGTATTCGACAGGTTATCAATTTATCGAGAAGTGACTGATCTAAATTAGCTAGCGGTTGCAGGAGAAATTGAGCACAGCAGAATCACTTGTTATCTTGTCCGTATGCGTGGCCAAGCGTCTTGAGCCGGGTGAGTCCACTAAAACGAATGTGGTCAGCACCAAATATCGAAGACTTACAGAGCTATTGATTTTGGGGATTTATTTATCGTTACAGTCATCAAGGTACAGACCTAAGAATCCACGTTAGCCAATACTCAAAACACACTGTAATCTCCCGCGCAATGGCTGCCACAGGTCTTAGGATCCTTTGGTCATTACTCTGAGCCTTTACTATGAAGTCTTTGACACGGTATACGGTGTCCGTTGATTTTAAACTAGAGTATTACATATATGCATCCAGAACCTGGCTAAAAATGACAGTAAACTGTCGGAAAAGATTTGTAGAAGCTCAATTAAGTTGATTCTGCAATCATAAAGCCCCCCGTATGACGAGAAACTGACCTAATTAGACCATTTTCTTTTGTTGTATCAGGAGTGATATGATCACAGTTTTTAAACTATTTGATGGTAAATTTGCATCTGGTATGCCATGATTTTCCTTGTCTTTAAAAAAGAATTTGCGAGGACAATTGAGACGTTCACAAGCCCAGAACGGATTACTTGTCATCTGACTATCGACTTTCCCATCGAATAATCAAAGAATTGAACTTTTTGCATCAACAATTGGTTGGAGTTTCATCCGTCAACGCATTGGAAATGGCGTTGGATTAACTGAAAGAACGCCATTACCAGGACTGATACATGCAATTCAGCCTCCTGTCTCGCCCAAACTGAAACTGATTTGAATTATTGTATTGTACCAACACAAAGCTTTTGATTGGCTGACTATCAGTGAGGGAATATTAAACTTCTCCATGTTTGTAGGCCATGTATGGTTTCACATCTGGACCTCCTGTACAGTCTATTCCTGCGTTTCTTACTAAACTAAAGTTACTGGTGGATGATGAAGAAACAAACGATCTCATATATTGGGATCCGGTAAGATTAGGTTTAATTAATAACTTCGTTCAGCACGGGACAAGCTTTCACATACGTGATGGAAACCGCTTAGCCAAAGAATTACTACCCCTTTATTTCAAACACAACAATTTATCTAGTTTCATAAGGCAGTTAAATATGTGTATGTGATTATCTTCTCTCAGTTTTTTTGTAGATGGTTTTAGAAAAATAAATCGTGTGGATCCGTCTCTTCCTTTAAAATCTGACACTGAAGACATGGAATTCAGTCATCCTTACTTCATCCGCAATAAAGATATTTTGCTATCCAAAATTCAGAGGCGGACCTCAAACATGTTCTCGCCAATACTGGGGTCAAGAAATCAAAGTTTTGGTGTGAAAGTACCTTATGTTCAAACTAATTCGGGTTTAAATGGTTCCATAAGTGTATCACCCCAAAGACCAATAACTGCCACAGACTTCTTAAGATTGGCAGAGACTGTACGGCACTTGCGTTGTAATCAGGAGGCTTTAAGTCAACAAATTAGTGTGTTAAAGTCGGAAAATCAGCTTTTGTATCGTGAACTTTCTGATTTACGAGAACATCACGACAAACAATCCCAACTTATTCAGACAGTAAGATATCTAGTTGTTAACCGAAACATTTTAGCTCTTCACATTCCTGTCAGCATTTGCAAAGGAAGGAAGGTCTGCAAGCGTGTGCATCGGACAGACAAAACGTAAAGCTCTTCCTTCTATTACTCCATCCGGTTCAAGATTTCAAAACAAAGAACTAAAGCTGGATCTTCGAAAAGGTATGTTTCTTTTGCCGATATATGAGTAGGAAATTCTGGTACTATAATGCCGTTATGCAATTATCTACCGTTCCAATACTTGTATGCTTTAACTTAATTTATTTTCGTCCAGTCTGTTGATGAATGTAGTATTTCGCTTGTTTAGCACTTAAGGTTTTGTGCAAACAATAAGCTTACCGATTTCTTATCACCAGTTAACCATGCCACTAATCTTGCTGTTCTGTGGAATTCATAATATTTGGAAGGTCACATAGATATCGTTGGAAAATCAGGAAGTTGTTAAGATTTATTGTTGATCTACTTCACGGTGATTATTTTCTATAGAATGGTTTTATTTGTTTTCTTGGCCTACATACAATACAGATTTCGTGATATCTATATGCACTGTGATATACACCGTGTTATCTTTCACTAACAACCAAAATTGGGACAGGTGTTTGGTACGTACATGACTTAGCTTTTGACCTCTGTCAGAAAGATGCTTACAAATTCTTCAGTGACTTACAAAGTGGTTGATACCCTAAGCATCCGGTTTATTTCGAACAATAAAGTAAACGGGTTTATAGCAGTCCTACCTGCTGTACATTTTAACAAAACATGTATACATGAATTTGGTAGTAGCATCCTAACTACATTAACCTGATAAGGTAAGTAACTTACTCTTTTTGCAGAAAACCCAGACATCATAATCCATATTGGCTGTTTCAATCATAAGTTCATTAAACGTTTCTTTTAGCACTCACTGTTTTCAAATATATGAGTCAACCATCTAAAAGTGTTTTATTTATGAAGTCATAAATCTGTCTTTATTTTGGCTTAAGAAGTCTGATATTTTAACCGAATCTCAGTCCAGCGTAGTACATGAACTCACACTCGGTTACTAAGTAAGAATCAGTCACAGTTAACTGAAAGTACCAAGGGTAATTTTAGTTTAGTTACGACCTCATCTACATTAATGCGTCTACTTGGCTTTCACTACTTAGGTGATGCCATACTCGGGTTTTACGTAACTCAATTACCAAGTGCATCTTCGTATACAGGACTTTAAGTATAATTCTACCTGACTTCTAGAGTCTAAGTACGTGATGCAGCGGCTCAAACTTAGGACCTATCATGTAAAAGCCGAGTACTTTAACAACTAATCCATCACCCCACGTTCCATGGTCTACATGGGTTGCTAAGCTAGGAATAAAATCCCCATGAGATAGCGTCAGTTAAGTTACGAAAGTGATTTTCCCTTCATTTTATTAAAATATATTTTAAAGTAGTATTACATAAAACGGGGGAAGGTTGTTTAGCGATTTGGTAGTCAAATGCTGATTTATCAACACTGCTATCATTGTCCTGATTAGTGTTATGACAGTTTTAGGCTGTTATAATGCGTCCTTCAATGCAATAAAACCCATCAATTCCTGATAGTAAATTGTATGATGATTTATTTATGACGCGAACCTCAATAGCAGTTTATTTTCATCGTCTAGGCAGTAGTCACCTGTATCACCACTGATTTATATGTTTCAGCTTATGTACGTCTTGTGTACCCAGTTCACGGATATAGTAAAAACTAACATTCAGTCGAAATGTGTACTTCTCGTGCCAAACAAGGAACAGCATGATTTAAGGATAGTGTTACAAATGCAAAATTATCTAAGTTCTGACCAATCACCTACGGTCATCAGGAATGATATTTTTTCGTCAAAAATTAACTTAACTAATGTGTTATCTGAAGTTTTAATGTCAAAAGTTCGTTAATTCTGGTCTTTATTACTGATTATCCAAACCTATAGGAAAGCCGACGGGGAATTCAATTCCTCAAGTGAAATTTCCGCAATTTAACCATGTATGTTCATGACCCATGTGAATTAATATTATAAGGTCCATTAACGTATTATTAATACCTGGTTGTGAATTAATCATTAAAATTGGACATTGAATTTTATTAACCTTGATACAAAAATTGTCCATTACGGAAACAATATCGTGATTTCTAATGATAGGTGTATTATCCTAAACATACCTTTAGGTTTCCAAATTGAAAGAAACTCTGTTCAACCACTTCAACTTGTCCAAACTAGTGATTTGCTCGGACCACATAAGCGCCCTAAATTCGACTTACGAAATTTGTCTGCAAAAATAGGCAATACAAGTTCCGGTGCAAATATTACTGACCAGATTTCAGATATTGGATCAGTTGTTCATATTCTCCCTTCAAATCTTCAGCTTACTCCAGTGAATCTTGGTAATGACGGTAAATATGTATACTCTTTAACTGGTTCATCACAAGAGTGTGACGTAAATAGACAAAGTTTGGTTGATAAAAATCCTGCGAATGTTCAAGATGAACCGAGATACTATCTGTCTAAGGTAGGTTATTCTTCATGCCTTATTGTTTGTACGTCTGTAAGGTGGTTTAAACGGAGTTAGCATCTCCAGCTTTACTGCTTGAAGTTGTAAAATGTTTGATCTCAAAATACTACTTCGTTCCCCCCTACTGATTTCTGAGACGCAGTGATATGTGAAAAGTAAGTAATCAGCACAACAAAAAATGCCCACAAAATATCGTGTGGCCAAGACCATACAACTATTCGTTTAGTTATGTAATCATGCTTCTAGGTCACTGAAAATCCTCAACACTAGTCCCTTTTCCTTCCCAAATTCTTTATGAAGGAATATCCCTATTTATTATGGTCAACCGGGACGTATCGACCGCCATTGTTTGCATGAGAAACGTTATCTGGATCGGAAACAACAGGCGGTGTTCGTCAAAGATGCCAACTTTCCCGATTTTCATGTAACTTTGTCATAGGTATTCGAAATATAACTCGTTCTTCGTCTGACTTTTTAGGAATTAATATCTTACAACGATATGTACGCATCGATTTCGAGTGTACCTATGGCCGTCTTGTTTTCCTTAAGTAACAGTCCAGTCCTATTCAGATTCCCTTTCTTTCCTTCTAAATGTAACTTGTTGCTTCAGGACTGGTGTGCGTCAATCCCTAGTTTGACCACAGGAAGTGAAATAAAGGAGCGCGATTACCGCTTGGTGTCTTTTCAACTTTAGTAGGCTGGAGCTTAACAAACTCCAATACAGATTCAGAAAACGCTTAAATTCCACCGATTTTGGTAACCCGTGGGGTAGGTAAGATGTCCATCTACCAACGAAAGGTTAATTATACTTCTCAGCAGTCCTCTCCGCTTTAATTTATGGTTGTGGCCATTAAATATAGAGGATACTCGTAAGTTACTAGTATTTGATCACAGATGTCTTACAAATATTGCTCGCGTCTGCTGGGATCATCGGGTAAGTAATAGTGAGGTTAGACGCAAGGTATTAGGGAATGATGGTAAGTCAGTTGATGAGGTTGTGAATCTCCATCAACTGAGATGGTTAGGTCAGGTATTGTGCATACCTAACAACCGATTATCATGACGCATAATGCTGACTAGTGTTGGAGACGAATGGAAGTTAGGGGCAGCCAAACTAAAACGTAATGTCAGTCCGTAAAGTCACTAAATTCTTGTCTAAGTCATGTTGGCAGATGCAGATTACTCGGTTGTAGTCCATGCGACTATCGTAACCAGTGGTTGGAGACTGGGTGACATGGCTCAGAATCAATCACAATGGCGCAGGTGTATATCCTCTGTCTTCCTTTAAACCGTGAGATAGAAATAGCTTTATACCTTTCTTTCTACCAACTAATTCATCATTCATGTATTACATCCTTATATGTAATCTTCCTTTTATGTATTACTACCATTGAAGTAACTACTATAAATTCGGTGTTCATCTTGTTGTGCTAATGAGGTGTGGCAACTTGGAGCGAAGGAGATATGTGCCTGGTCCTACCTTGTGGCTGACTGACTGACTGACTGTAAAACGGCCTATGAAAACAGTTGTCCGTAAGCTGCAGGATTTTGATATGTCTTTTCAAAGCATTGCTTGCGTTTTATGGAATAACTGAGTAAGTAGTACTGAGATTAGATATAAATTATTAAGCAAAGATCGCATATTGGTTGATGAGACTAGTGATTTTCGTCGACTGAGGTGGCTTAGTAATTGACTTGTTCGAATTTCAGCCACTATGTCCCTGGTTCATACACCTCTCCACCTAACTTGGCCTGAGCAATCGGATATCATTGACTCTAACAGTGGCTCATATTCAAGTACCTGATGAATGAGTAGCTATATTTTATACCATATACATCGACTTTCAATGTTTGCTGATGTAAGAGTAAATTGAGAAAAGATACAGTGGTTGGAAAATCGTAATACGAGATCAGCCCGTGAGGTCGTTGGCTGTTGATCTGAGCAGTGTTGAAAGGTGCAAGATTCCTGGTCGGTGTTTTAAAATATTTGCTTACATGGTGCAAAGTAGCTCAGTTTTGTTCTCTATCTTCCCGTAAATTCTGAATTGGTTTCTCAAAGAAATCAGAAAATTTTTTTCACTAGTCATTGTTTACCACCTATTAGCCTTTTCATTTCTAACTATAAAATTCCACTTATAACAATTTAATCTTATTTCTATTTCCAAACCAAAGGTGGACGATAATCTCATGCATCCCACAAATGATGAAGAGTTTCCTGTAGGCCTTAATATTGAGGAAGACGGTGTTACAGATGTGAATAATTCTATTCTAGAGTTAAACTGGCCATGTAGTAGATCAGATACGCCTTACTGTCTAACTGATTCTCCTGGCTTGAGTGACGTAATACCTTCAAAGTTAGATGGTGTGACAGATGAAAGTATTTGTGACCTGCTTCTTAACTGTGACTCACAAACCGAACAAGTAGTCGGTAACAATCAGTCTCTCCCAGAGTCTACCATTTCAAAATACACGTAAGTCTTCAACCTATCAACACAGTAACTCATTCGTAAGTTTTGTGGTTAACATAGTTCCACCAATTGTAAATCTTTTAATTTTAACCTGTAAGCAACTTAGAACGATGTCCAAATGTGCATCAAAATAAGTTGTCTTAAAGTCAAAATAGTTTTTTTCTTGGTGTCAGTATGGAGTCCTTATACGTGTTTTGATGCACTTTGAGGTAAAATTGTTTCCCACTTAACAACACTAAAGAACTGCCCTTGCACATGAAATGTATGGTTGTTATTTGTGTCGTTTTCAGGAAGGAGCCAATAAGAAAACAGCATAAAATTCAGAACAGACCCCGTTGTATCGTACCTTTTCAGAAAGCGACCCTCAATTTGCTTCCACAACTCTCCAGGACATTGACAGTCTTCCATGGGAGAAGTATCAAGATAGTGGTTTTGACTTTAACCTCGGTAAGTGTTCCATTCCACTTGAAAATATTACAAGTTTAGATGTTGAACAAAATCAAACAGAAAATTCAAGCAGTTCTTCAAATGGTCTTATAGTCGGTACGTATAAATAGTCTTTTGATGTTAACCTATGGTTGGCAGATTTACTCCTCAAATATTCCTCTAAATCATTTTTTAGTTAGACATCTAATACTAGATATTGAAATCTTAATTCAAAATTGGTAGTAAAGCCCACACACAAATCAAGTGACTTGTGTGGCGCATATGTATTCGGTGCCCCTTTGTACCAATATTTGTGTTCAAATAAATAAATAAATATTAAAGATTCCCATTGTGAAAATTAGAACAACACATATAAGCGAACAATTGTTTTCAATTAGATCGTCATCAGGCTTTACTCTAATATACATGAATATTTATACGAAAGTTTTAAACCAATCAAGGCAATATGAAATGCAGCACATTAGTTGTTTCTCCTGAAAATAAAGAATCATAGAAAAAACTTCCTGTTTCGTAGATATTTGGAGTCCATTTCTACACAGTTTATTTTATTGACTTTCATAACCAACTCATGTTGTTAAACTTACTGGTGTTTAATCATTGCTCAGTTTTGTATGATATTTCATGCGAATGATTCGTTTAGTTTTCCAATAAATTTTCAACAGCTTGGATGTGATGACATTTCAGCACTTCACCATCAGATTGCTTTTGCGGCATACTTACGCTTGTTACTCCCAATGGGGCATAGGCCACCGACAAGCATTCTCCAACCCACTCTGTCCTGGGCCTTCTTTTCTAGTTCCATCCAATTCTCGTTCATTTTTCTCATGTCTATCTCCATTTCCCGGCGTAATGTGTTCTTTGGTCTTCCTCTTTTCGTTTGGCCTTGAGGATTCCAAGTGAAGGCTTGTCGTGTGACGCAGTTGGGTGCTTTCCTCAATGTGTGTCCTATTCACTTCCAGCGCTTCTTCCTGATTTCTTCCGCCGCTGGGATCTGGTTTGTTCTCTCCCACAGTAGGTTGTTGCTGATGGTGTCTGACCAACGGATCCGAAGTATTTTGCGTAGACAGCTGTATCTTCTACATGATGGCTTTCGTAGTTCTCCAGGTTTCCGCCTCATACAGTAGAGCTATCTTGACATTTGTATTGAAAATCCTGACCTTGGTGTTGGTTGACAGTTGTTTTGAGATCCAGATGTTCTTCAGTTGTAAATATGCTGCTCTTGCTTTTCCGATCCGCGCCTTCACATCTGCAACAGATACACCGTGTTCATTAATGATGCTGCCCAAATATGTACAGGTTTCTACATCTTCCAAATCTTCTCCGTCAATTGTGATTCGATTGCTGCATGGTGTGTTGTATCGGAGATTCTTGCTTTTCCCTTTGTGTATATTGAGACCTACTGCTGCTACACTGGTCGTCTTCTCCTGCATTTGTTGTTGCGTTTGTGATAGAAGAGCCAGATCTTCTGCGAAATCTAGATCGTTCAGCTGCATCAGATGTTGACGTCTTCATGGTCCAGTCGATCACCAGGAGAAAGGGAAAGGGTGAGATTAAGCAACCTTGCCTGACACCGGTCTTTACCTCGAACGACTTTGTCAACTGTCCTCCATGCACGATTTTGCAGTTTAATCCATCATATGAGTTCTGTATGATATTGACTATCTTCTGAGGCACGCCGTGGTGTCGAAGAAGCTCCATAGTGTTGTTCTGTCCACGCTATCAAACGCTTTTTCGTAGTCAATGAAGTTGATGTAGAGTGATGAACTCCATTCAATTGATTGTTGCACAATGATCAGTAGAGTTGCGATTTGGTCTGTACACGATCTATCCTTACGGAATCCTGCCTGTCGGTCACGAACTTGGGCGTCTACGCAGTCCTTCATCCTGTTTAACAATACTCTGTTGAAGACATTTCCCTGTATTGAGAGAAGAGTGATACCCCTGTAGTTATCACAGTTGCTGAGATCGCCTTTCTTCGGTATTTTGATCAGAAGTGCTTCTTTCCAGTCTGTTGGTACTTGTTCTTCATCTCAAATCTTATTGAATAGAATGTGGAGTATCCTTGCAGTTACCGCTACGTCTGCTTTTAGTGCTTCTGCTGGAATGTTGTCTGGTCCTGCTGCTTTGCCACTCTTGATTTGCCTGATGGCCATGCTTATCTCTTCAATTGTTGGTGGGCCAACATCGATTGGGAGGTCCGTGGGTATTGAACTTTTGTGATATTGTCTGCCCCGTTGTCCAGTGCTTCTTGAGTTTCAATTTCATCTTGGCGACCAGCAAGTGATCTGATGCTATATCAGCTCCTCTCCTGGTTCTCACGTCTTCCATCGTCCTCCTGAACTTTTTGTTGATGCAGATATGGTCGATTTGATTTTGTGTAGTGTGATCCGGTGAAGTCCATGTGGTTTTGTGAATGCGTTTATGTGGGAATATGGTGCCGCCTATGACCAGTTTATTGAAGGCACATAGGTTTACAAATCTCTCACCATTTTCGTTCCTTTCTCCCAGTCCGTGTCGTCCCATGATGTCTTCATATCCAGTGTTGTCCGTTCCAACTTTGGCATTTAAATCTCCCATCAGAATGGTCAGGTCCTTTGTTGGGCACTTCTCGATGACTGACTGCAGCCTATTGTAGAATTGATCTTTGGCGTCTTCATTGTGGTCGTTGGTAGGCGCATAGCATTGTATGACGTTCATTGTAATGCCCTCTTTCTTTGTTTTGAATGAGACTTTGATGATTCCTGGTCCATGAGATTCCCATCCTATAAGTGCATTTTGTGCTTGTTTGGATAGCATCAATGCAACTCCTTGTGTATGTGGGCATTTTCTTCTTCATGGCCGGAGTATAACAGGAGCTCTCCTGAAGTTAGTCGTTGTTATCCAACTTGCGTCCAATGTGTCTCACTGATCCCAAGCACCTCTAGGTTGTATCTTCTCATTTCTGCAGCGATTTGGAAGGCTCTCCCGGTGTCCCACATTGTACGAACATTCCATGTACCTAAATAAATGGTTGCTCTGGTTGTCAGAAGGGGCATCGGCCTCGTAACTTCCGATGGAACTCGGCTTTCACCATGAAGCGTCATAATTGTTCTAAATGAAGACCTTTCAACTTTCAGGGCAGAGTTTAAATGGTTTGAATAATTTTTCTGGTTGTAGTTTTTTTAGCGAGTTAGTTTTCTACGAGATGGGGTCGCTAACCCCATGCCCGACCCTTCTCCTTTATCCGGGCTTGGGACCGGCAGTAGCCCCTGGAGGGACTCCAAGCGGAGTTCTTTTGCAACATAATCAAGCTTTTTTTCTTTTTACTAAAAGCCAACGTTTTATTATTGAAGTATATTGTATTTAATGTGAGTTGTTTACATCCATGCCAGTTAATTTATTCGCTGAAGTTTTTATTGTAGGTAGGATTGAAACCAGAAATATTTGACCACTTACAACTTGTTCCCATAAACCTGTAATTTGTCTTTGGACATTAAACGATATGCATTTTTTTGGGTTCTTGTAAATTGTCAATGTGATATTTTCTTTTTTGTGCATAGGCAATGAAATTATTCCGGTAGAACCCGTTAATTTAAACGCATGTGATGATGTTATCCAGTTCTTGAGGTCAGAAATTCCTGACAAGAAGTAAAATCAGATGAACCATTAAAAACTGTTGCAACGACTGAGGCACAAGCCTCTACTCAAAATGGTGCTATTGATTTAACAAGCAATTCATCTGCGCCAACTACCTGGAAAGCAAGACTTTCTGCCAACAATCGGCTCACAATATCCGCCTCTCCCAAAGTTAAACGAAAACAAGTACCGGTTTTGATCCGCAGAAAATCAATCACCCCTCTCTCAACTCCTGATTTTTGTGAGGAAGAATTCGAATAATGTACAATCCAGGTTAGTCCTTCAAAATATTTCTTTCGTAGATATGATAACTTATGATTGCTTTCATTGTATTTATTATATTTACTAAGTTTTTGTGTTTGTACACGTGATATACTAGACAAGTTTACCATCTGGAGCTCCAGTGCTCCTAAATAACTTTTTCTCCATGAAGGAAATCTTCTGTTCACTCAGGAATACAATATCCCTCCCTTGAGTGACATCAAATTCTTACAAAAGCTACATCGACCAGTACATATGCCCGAAGTTATTTTTGTTTCTTGAAATCTATTCACTTCTAAGTATATATCAAGCATTTCAACCGTATTTCCCGATTTCATATTTTCAACTAGTAATAATAATAATTCACACATCGTATGACTTTTTCTTATGTAAAACAATTTTGTGTTTTTTACTTTTACAGTGCTCTTCATTTCATTGTAATTCCTACACACAGTAGTTTCCCAAAGAATTTCTTCACGATAAAGATTCGCCAAAGTAATATATCATGAACCGCTTCTACGAAACCATTTTTTTCCACATAAAAGTTTTCTTGTAAGCTCTCATAAACAGCGAGTTTCACAATCATGTTGGACGAATACGAATTTAAAGACCATACACGATTGTTTTTTTCGATGAATACCCAAGTTTTAAACATTTCTACAGTGTGTTTATTGATTAGTCCTATCTGTTCATGCAGATTTTAATATATTGTGTTTCACAAAGTATAAAGACGGTGTACCAGATTCTATTAAATAATAATTAATATCGACGTTTTTTTCTGCTTCTCATCTATTTTTAGATGTAATCATTCAAAGAAATTAGGTTATGCTTTCCTTACAATAATTCCTTAGTTAGAGCAGACTCAAATTACAGTTCGTATCCTGATTTGTTATTATTCAAAGTTATCCGTCTTCTAGTCGATAGACATCATAAACTGTCCACTTCAATGGTTGGTAACAGAATTCTTTTAAATTATAAAAATTGCGAAAATATTGTATATAATGATAATGTATGGAACTGTCCAGTGGACGAAGCAAAGTTCTAGAAATAAAGATATATTAATATGTTGAGTATAGATTTGTAACGGCAAAATTAGTTTTGGTTGATTTCATCTATTTATAGCTACAATCTACAGTGAGCGGAACAAAGTGAACGTTTATTTTGGTTACTAACATCAGTTAATCATTTAAACAACTTAAGGCTGGTGAGTACTAATGATTCGAAGTTTGTGCATATGGTTCATCTGGGCTAAATACCTTAATTTCTTCGAAGTACCGGAAACCCTGTTATTTTTTCATCACTTTGTTACTTATTTTTATTGAGGGTTTGTTTTACTTTAGATCTATGTAATGCTTATCACTTTTAAGTAAATTATTATTAAGCTTTGTTCGCTTAGAATTGAAAGTTATCCTGAGGAATGTTTGCGTAAAATTATCACTATATGTAATGTGATATCATCATGTAGCAGTCGGACACTTTCTGGTTCCACTCAGCTAACATCGACTAGATACCAGTCAGCATGTCGGTTAGATTAGAATATTGTAATGTTCTTGGTGGTCGTGCGCCATTTCGTAGCATGTATATATCATGAACGCAAGTATGTTTTTTCTGTGAGCTGATTATTTGTAGCGTAAAGAATGTTTAGAAACATACTTGAAGTTGTCACGACTTCCCCCATACGGTGGTTAATTCTGTTTGTGTCATGTGGATAACTAGATTACAAAACTACTGAAACACAATAATGGACTCTAAAATCTTATTTTCATTACTTCTTGACGGTTAAGGTTAAAATGCTTGCAAGAGACTAGCAGTTAGTCTAGAACTACCTTATAAAACTTTCCCAATAAGATAACTCAAACAGATGGAGGCATTTGAGCACTCCTACTTATTGAAGCTTATTTAGAACAGCTGAGGGTGATGTTATCAAAGTGGAAAATGTTTCTCAGTATTGGAATAAATGATTCAGAAACACTCGGTTAATAATTTAATAGCAATAACACAGTAAGATTCCACCTTAAAGTCCTCCATTCTTTTCTGGTTTCCGTCAAAAAATTGAAATTTACCCTCGATTTTTCTTTCGCATGAAATATTTACTTCTCTAGCTTCACCATTGACTTCTAATTTTTCCACTGAATCCCAACCCTTAAGCTTAAGAGTTTAACTAAAATATGTAAATACTTTGTCAATATATGTATTCTAATTTTCCTACATAACTCCCTCTACTAAAAAATCCCTTGCATATGATGTAAAGTAATAATTTGAACGATCCATTGTTTGGGAAACTACTAGTCAAGCGAAATGGAAAAAAATTATTTGATCAGATGGACATTTTCAACAAAACACTTTTCGTATTAGCTTTACAATTACATTTAACAATATTTATGCAGTCATCGTAGTTCGTTTTATGAAGAATTGTTTATGTTACATGGTAAAGAAAGGGAGGCTAAGGATATTTTTATACATTTAGAAGTATCGTAAATAAACAATCGGTAGTATCAATAACAATAAAAGTACAAATGGCTGTATTTATCAGCAAAGTAAATCACGATTTTTGGAAGTGTGTGTTAGGTAGAACTGACAATTAAAAAAAAGACTTTTCTTATGTTTAAGTTTTCCGGTTTGTAATCTTCGATAGATATTACCTCTTCTGTACTTGGTAAACGGAAGCACGTAAATGTGGAAACATCATTGTTTCTCTGTATGTTATATCGAAAATTCACTTTTGATGCTGTGTTCACTAATCTCAACTTTCCATAGATTTGCTGACCCATTTATTTAACAACAATGAACACTCACGTAGTTTTTTACATACGACACATATTTTTGTCTTGATTGATAGCAAGTGAAACGGCAACTAGTATTTTTAATTTTATATCAACAGTCAAGATGTTTATTTCAAAGTAATTTTCTGAATCCACAAACAAATATTTTTAACTAGTTGCCTCAACAGTTAGCATCAGTTGCACTTCAGTTTCATCATATTTTCGTTTCATTACTGATATGGGCAAATTTGTAAAAGAAAATTCTTCCTCATCTAGGCCCAGGTATGTTTATTCTTGTGTCATCTGTTGTTTGCTTTTCATTTTGCTAGAAAAAGAAAGCAATTCATTTCTAATCAGTCCTGCTTTTACATATTCATTCATCTAAGGCTTTGAGTCGATTATTTGAATATGGAGAATGGTTCTCAGTCTGCCATACTACTACTGCTACTACTACTGTTTCTCCAAACTTCTGTAAAATGAATATCTAATTTCCTATCCCTCTCCCTAACTTCAACATAAATTACGAACATAGGATGTGACTAATTTAGTACATAATCAGTCTCAAGCTGACAAGTTGATACATTACTCTCAAGCTCAGACTGTTTGATGTTAACATAGCCATTGGGTCCTCGGTAATTTTACTGACGATATATGGATAGAAGTGGTGATTATGTATCTTCTCCAGTTAGCCAGATTTTCTGGTTTAAGTACTCAGTAAGTTCATCGAACCGTATAGGTTAATGGCATATTCCTCGTAATTTACTGTAATTTGAGAACATTATCTAAGAATATACCGATTTTTTTCGAATTATGTTTTGGAACCATATTTTAGTCTGTAGTTTTACGTCAATACTGGAAATCCTTAGGTTGCTGTTTAACCACGATATGGGGTTCCTACACGATAATCCTTGGTTTTCAATTGTTTAACCAAAGTCATTCCATCATGTAAAACCATGGGCTGAACGATCTTCACAAAACTCCTCTGTTAATAGCTTTAGTATTGCTTTTCGATCACCATCCATCTCTTCGAAATAACTACTATCGCCCACCTAAGATTGTTACAAATGTATACTTTCTAATTTTGACCCAATACGTGTTAGAAGCATGATTCAGATGGAAATTTACATTTAGAATCAACTATCATAATTACAGCATGATATACCTTTGTAGTAAAGTAACTATCTTCACAAAAGTTGTTAGAACTTGTCATTTCTGAAGGCAATTTTAACGAGAAAGTAATAATTTCAGTATCTTTTTCTCAGTGATATTAGAATTTTTTAACTGACATCTCAGGTTTACACGTGCTATTAATAAGGATCTTATGAAATTACACATAACTAATTTGTCTCAAGCCCGTTACAGTAAGTTATAATTACGCCAATAAATTAGATTTCAACCAGTAAGATTGGCTTCGACATGAAAATCTAGATTCTTTTATCATTAGCATTCAGAACCATAAAACACTAGTTCTGACTTAATACTGTCAAACCTATCTGCCCTACTTTTCTATGGTTCGGAAATAATTATAGCAAGACTATCATCAGAGACAAAATCATAGCTTCGTTTGCGAAACTATTAATCAACAAGATATGTTGTTTCTTTCTTATACTTTTAACTGAAAAACTTCTCTTAAATTTATTAACCCGGTTAATAAAATAACTTTATTCTACAGCTAAGTTCTTTCATTAAGGTAAAGTGTGTTTATAAGAAAATGAATAAACACTGTGCACTATTAAGCTTTTTAGTCCGAAACTCAACACAATAATTCCAAGTTTGTGAATGATCTTTTCCTGTCTTCAGGTTCTGGTACATTTGCAACTACTAGAGTATATTTTAGACAGTTCTGGAGATTTCTACATCATCACCTACACACATTGTTCAGATCGAACATATGAAATCAATCGTGGGATCCGTTCAATCTGGAAGAATTGCTACATAAATCTATACTACTGATAAGCATGGAGTAGTGTCATGTACACAGCTTAAATTATACGGGATCATACGCACAAAAGCATGAGGTTCATTATGACGAATGAAGCGTTTTTGTGTTGTTTGATTTGCTCTATCTTAATGGACAGTCGTCTGTTTGATAAAAAGGAACGCTAAATGGATAACGGTTAGGGACGTCATTGCACATTCTACTTCTTTATAATAATTATTTAAAACAATTAGTCCCTTTGATAATGCAATGAGAAAATGAAGCTTACCAAATATATCACATAATTCTGATAAACCTCATCTTCTCATTCCATTAATGAAATAATTGATATTTTTACAATAATTTCATTTTCCTCTTTTATCTTGATTATGATTAGTAATAACTATAATACCTATAGTACTTTACATTAATACTTTCCAATACGTTAATACACATCGATGTTAGCTATGTTTACTCATACACTTTGTGTTCTGTTCCTTTTCTTACTATGATTTCGATTACGTTTGGAACGTTGATGTTCTCGTCATAAACAGAAAATTTTCAACATTTTATTTTTGGATTGTGACCTATTGCGTAATAACATTACTTCAATTTAGTCATCTGTTATTCTTATGAATGATAACTACTTCAAATGTGATTATAATTTCAGACGCTTGAAGTTTCAGAGGAAAAATACCGTGAAATCGATAAGATGTAATAACTACATAATACAAGGAATATTATTTGACTAAATAGGGATCACCTTTGAATAATTAACTAACGTTACACTGATCTCATAATAAATAATTCAACTATCTTGCGAAATTTA